TTGTAAATTTACAAATTTGGATTTTGTAAAGAGTTTTTAAAGAATTGTCTGGGAGTCCCAAAATTATGGGACATCAATGGAAAAATAAATATCAGAGATAGGATATTTTTCTGAAAGAAGACTTTATTTTATTTTGAAAACTAAGTATTACTGCATTCAATGATTTTCTAAAAAATACTTGTCTCGTCTGTGAATCGAACCGACTCAAATGTGAATAAAAACACCCCATATTTTTTGATGCCAGTCAAAAGAATGGACAACAATGTCCCATAGTCTTGGGATGCCCTGTATACTAGGACTAACTCTCTGAAAAGGGCACATATATTTCAGTGTATAAATTTAGATAACGAATTACATAGGTAAATGGACCTTCTTCATTGTCCGTTGAGTGAACTGACAAATATTATATTATTTGTAATTTTGTATTTCCTAATAAATTTCTTATATCTGTTTTTTGATTCGTCTGTAAATTTTATTCACTTCTTGTGCAATTTTGTCAATTTACGGTCACCTGTTAGGACAGGAGTGCTTTTTATTGAAAAATAAATATTTAGTGATCTTGGTACAGTTCTCATATGTGAGTAGAAATAACATCAATTGTTACCTTGCTACGCGGAAGCGATCTTGAACTTTGTGCTCTATTTGAATAAACAAGAGAAGGACATTATAATATCATAATATTTAATTCGACCTAATATAAAGTTCATTGCTATTAATATTTAATTATTATATAATAGGGCTAATTATTGCGAATTGTTCTTGGTAAGTGCGCTGGTACTCTGGAACTTCCAATTGCAATACCGATCCCAACGTTTTTGTGTGCAAGTAATTAATACCGCCGATGTTTGTGTCGCCTACTGGGATCGCGGTACAAAACACAACATTGTCGTTGGGAAATAACTTAATGGCCATTATATAAAATATGCTTTATTTATAGAAACGTCTTTAAAAAAATTAATACATCTAAATTTACTACGCTTACTGTACTAGCAGTATCTGATGGCAAATTTTAAATTAGCGATTTTCATATGGCAATAAAAGAAAAATTTCATCTGTCAACTGAAATTTGAGGAAGTTTTGGTTTGGCTTCAACCTTAAAAAGTGATGAAAAGTCGAAGACTCTTCGACGCACAGACATTTGTTTTCATGTTTATCAAAGAATACGATCCAGAGCAGAACATAACAATCGGGATCGATATTGAGCCATGTGCAAGCGTTGACTGGTTATTTTATATCAGTCGGTGATACTTTGGTTTATATTTTGTGTATTAAATTATGTCCAGGTTTTTTAGAATTTTCATACATAACTTTATTGATTGATTTGGAATCGCGACAAGATAAATGGGTTTTACATTGTCTTCTTCTCCAAAAAAGGGATCGAAGAAAAGCGAAAATCTTGTGAACAGAAAAAAATCATTTTATTAGTAGATACAAGATCGTTGACTTGAAAAAATGATCTCAAAATTTTTTTCTGTGTAGTATTTGGAACCATTAAAGATAAATAAACTCATGACAGAGTTTGGAGTTAAATCTAAAAAAAATTAAAAACCCACACTCGCCATTTTTAAAAAAATTATTAGTTAAAAATTTTATATATTTTGTATATATCACACAGAATCAGGCTTTAAGGAAAAAAAGTATCAAAACTTTTCTCTTCCCAGTTGCAATTTATTTTTCCCTTTTTGCATCAGATTCATGAACTTACAAATTGGGTGGGCGGTGGGGGGAAGCCCAAGTTTTATTTTATATTCGGTATAAAGAAAAACAGTTTTTATCTAATAATAGGTATGTCTTAAAAAATAATTTTATAGTGACATACATATCTCAAAATCTTGAATTGAAAAAACATTTTAGATTTGTAGAATTCATGACTTCACAGAATAAAAAATCCATAACGTATAAAAAAGTGTCACACATACAAAACATGATTGAAACATCTATCAGGGAGTATTAAGAATATCCATAGCGTTAAATCACGTGCATCATAAGCACACCCATTTATATACACTTACTTTCACACCATCACATATCACAGCCGAATTGGATGTAACGCATTTAATAATTTTATTAAGTTTTCCTTTCGTAAATATTTGATCCTTTTTGTATATATTATGTATTCCATCTTTGGCTATGTGTTTAGTATAATTGCTTTTTGTTGTATATAATTTATGTTAGCTGTAGGAATACGAAATAAATATCTTTAAATTATATATAAACATTTCGTCTCTTTATCGATTTCAATTAGACGCGTTTTAGTCAATACCGCCAAAAGAGACAATTCATTCAACAATCGATTATCATAGTTTTTCTCTACATAACTTATTATTTTTTACATTAAATGTCAAAGGGAAAACTCGCTAATCTAACGCGGAAACGGGCTGGCATTGTTCGCAACAATTGTTTTCCCATTTTCTCGGGCGACGCACCCGGTGACCGCGGCCGGTCGTCCGTCGACCCTGCACTCCGCACCAACTTCACGATACCTCGAGATCGCTAATCTCCTTCATCTCCGATTATTATAAAGCAACGGCTAAACAATTAGCTTTTAGACGCCTTTAATAAATTATTAACAATATACCTAAGCGATATATATTGCAACAATACTAAGTTTAAATTACCTTTTTAACTGACGATTTTACATGTGTAGCTGACGTAGCATCTGTTGCAGCAGCAGTGTTGGTCTAATGGCTTCAGCGTCCCTGAGACCGTAGGTTTGATACCCGGCTGTGCACCCATTGGTGCACAGACTTTCTTTCTATGTACGCATTTAACATTTGCTCGAACGGTGAAGGAAAACAACGTGAGGAAACCGGCTTGCCTTAGACACAAAAAGTCGACATGTGTCAGGCACAGGAGGCTGATCACAATCTGGCCTATTAGATTGACAAATGATCATGAAACAAATACATAAATCTGAGGCCCAGACCTAAAAAGGTTTTATTTATTTTGGCGTACGTATTTATAATATAAATATTGTTACTCAAAATAACAATACTTAAATACATATGAATACAATTTACAGGTAAAATCTCTTGAACCCTTAAGTAGGTACCTTGTATTCAAAATCATTTCCGAAATATCTTAAATGCGTTAAAAGCGTATTGACCTATCAGGTCATTAATATTTAAAGAGCTGGTGATTGACAAGAGTGGGTGTAAACGCCCTGACGAGTTTGGGAGCCCTCACCCTTCACACTTCAAACTAATCGATTTGTAATATCTGAAACTGAATAGATACCAATAAAGTTTTTAAATAATTTTCTCTTTTTCGAATTATGTAGAAGTAGTTGTAGTGAAATAGAAGTTGTCTATAATTGGCTCTCTCTCTTCCAGTCTTCCTATAGCGATCTAATATACGAGAACCCATTTTTTGTAGGTATATATAGGGGGCAAACGGACAATAGGCCCATCTGATGTTAAGTGATACCGCCCACTCTCTATGCCAGAGGGCTCGCGCGTTGCCAGTCTTTTAAGAATTGTCTCTTTCAAAGGACCCCAAGTTGAATTGGTTCGGAAATACTTCAGTGGGCAGCTGATTCCACATAGTGAGGGTCGCGCCAAATACTGCCTTAAAACGCTTAGATGTGGAAAGCTATGGTTCCCTGTTGACACCAAGTTAACTAGGCTCGTATATAACGTAAAGCAAACTTAATAACTGTCAAAGATCTTTATCTCGATGCTCAATTTGTATCTTGATGTATGCTTAAAAGTAGTCTATATTTTTCTAAGATGCCAATTTAAGCTCAAACAATTTTAAATAACTCAATATTTTTATCAGCTTTAAAACAGGAATAATTTTAAATATTGTGTTGTATTGACACCGTGAACTCTAAAATATTTCAGAAGTACGAAAACTACATATTAAGCTCTTTGAAAATATATAAAACGTTCAAGCAGCGACTTGCAAACTACGCATTTTTACTATTTAATTTGTACGACAGGAACTGTAAATATAGAAACAGGGAGTTAGAATTTTGTACTAAACTTCACATTTGTTTAGACTTTTATAAAAATTGCGTATTTTACTAGAATAATAAATCATTACAATTGGCACATTTTCAAATTTTTGTTCATATTTTAAATATTCTGAGTTTTGTAAAACATTCATACACAATGAGTGTTGCCATAACTCGCGACAATACTGAGAAAATCGTCGAATGTGGGAGAGAAAATTCACACCTCGTTTAAACAAATACATTTAACAAACCATATTATAATGTGTTAAAAACAATTACGATTTCAATTTCAAAGGCGAGTATACATTTTGAAAATAAACAATTATTGCACTTTTCTATATGATTGCACTTCACAACTTTCTCGCTAAATGCCTTGTCTAGTCGTATGTACTCGTTACGTATTTGATATTCAGATTTTCTCCAATGTTATTAAAATAGGCTGTTTGATGGTACGAAAAATAAAGTGTCTTGAAAGTATATTAAATATGGCTTTAAACATCTTGTAAATAATTATTAATACTATATTAAAAAATCTATAAATAAACGTATTTATTTTTATACGTCAGTCACGTGACACAAAAGGGTTGACTCGACCGTGTGTCTTCGTCATACTGTCATGGAGTTAATTTTATAAGACTGTTTCTGTACGAAATTATTAATAGTGTAATTTAATTATGATAATAAACACGTCAATTCTACTTAATATGCATAGTACGTCATAGAGGCTGAAGCGTTTAGGCGGAAAAGGCGCGGGCGGGAAAATTTGAATAATAACATATGTACGTAGAGGTTCTATAATTAGGCCACTAATAAATTTGAAATGGTTTTTAAAATCTTGTCAAATAGGAAATTTCAGTAATAATTTGTTAAAAAAATCAAATAAGCTGTAACTAATCTCGTATATTACGTTGTCCGAGACAACTGGTTAAATCTAAAATAACAAGTATATGTATAAACAAATTTATTTCACTTTAACCATAACCTAACTTTGTGTTATCAAAGTTAGATAATTGTAACACAAAGTTACTATTTAAACATAGATTGGTTATCTCTCAACAATGTTAATTATTACGATATGTTCCCCGCGCACCATTAATTGTGGAATATGCCTGGAGCATTCCCAAATACCACCACCCAATGGTTTTTCCGTTACCACGGGGATTGGGGAAATAGCCGCAGCCGTGCCCTTTCTTACAGGTGTTCCTGAGAAGGAAAATTCTTACTTTAATTGGGCATTTGTCCGTGGTGCAAGTCTTTACAAATATCGAAATAGGCTTTTTAATAGTGGTAATAAAATGCCTTACCGAGTCCAGGTGGCACTTTCCTCTTCCTGGGTCCCTTCCTCTTCCAAACCTCAAGGACATCTGTCAGTGCTAGGTTCCATTGCTTGTCAAACGCAATAACGTTTGCTTGGAGATAACCTCTAATCCCGGTGTCATTTCTAGTTATTATCTGAAGCAAAGACAATAAACGTATTTAAAATTTGCTTTCGTATTTTCGTTAATCAATGATGTAAATAAATAATATAAATCAGCGCTACAACCTTTTTAGGTCTAGGACTCAAATGTATGTATCTGTTTCATGATAATTTGTCAATGTAATAGGTTATCAAGTGATCAGCCTCTTGTGCCTGACACACGCCGTCGACTAGTCTAAGGAAAGCCGGTGTCCTCGCGATGTTTTCCTTTACCGTTCGAGCAAATGATAAATGCGCACAGTCGGGAATCGAACCTACGACCTCAGGAATGAGAGTCGCACGCTGAAGCTAACACTGCTCTTACAATCAATGATGTAAACGTTTTTAAAGCTCGCCCTAATTAGAATATTTATACCATAATTAAAGATTATAAATATTCCGTAAATCGCTTAATAGAAGTAAATTACGTAATTGCTTCGTGGGGAGGAATAGGACTGAACTAGGTACAACAAAAAGAAAGTAGAATACACGTATATACACGTTAGAATACTCTTCAAACTTTGCCAAGTTTAGTAGAACAACGATGTAAATAAAATAGAGAATTCCTGCCATTAAAGGAATTCAATGCCTCCTCCGTATTACCAATTATTACACAAAGACTAATCATTCGCTTTAAATAACCCTAAATCAATTGCTATCATGAATAAAGATAATCATTTAGATGCACTTCAAGTCAAGTGGTTCCACACTCGACATAAGCGGTGAACACTGGACGCGGCCGGTATTAACCTCATTTCTCCCACCATTAATTCTTTAACTATTCTAAGGAGGTTTCCTTGTAGGCAATCTATTATACTGTGTTTAAATGATCTAAAAATGCATACAATTATTATTAAGGCACTTATCGTACGTGACAATATTTGGTTAACCATTGCGACACTTGATGCTTCATCGTCTTGAAGAAATTAATTTATAAAATAAAGTAAAAAATATGACAAGTTTTGCTGACTTTTCGTTAATATTCAGGAGTTAGTCTAATAAATAATTTTGTTTGTTTCAGGCGAGGTCAATTTCACACCAAATGTGTTCAACTGTAACCAATACTTCCATTAAGCTACAATCTTCTAACCTGTGGGTGAGTATCTTCTAATTATTTTAAAAGAGCCTTAAGAATGTTTGTATGGAATGTCGACATTTCGGTGTTATGCGATTAAAAAGAGTGGCGGAGAGTTTCTTGTCAGTTCTTCTTGCCCGCTCTACGCCCTTGGCTTGCGAACTGGTAGTAAATGTAAATTTACAATTAATTTAAATTCATAAGTGTACTTGTTTACCTATATGAATAAAGTTATTTTGAGTAATGCATAAATCATATTTCACTATTCGTTTAAGATCTTAAGTTTTTCGTCCACCAGTACCTTATATGTTCAATAAAATGTATACACAAAAGAACACGTGTTAAAAGTTAGCCGCCAAGGTGTACGAAAAACGAATATACATCAAGGACATATTAGTTTGTAAAAACTGACCTATAATTCAATCGGCATATGAATTTATCGAAAGACCTTCACACAGACTCAATTAATTTCAAGGTTAAACCTCGACTCGCATGTTTTATATTTTTCTACAACGCTAACGAACCGCTAGAGTTGGGGAAGATCAGTTCTCCCATAGATTATAGAGCGACACGACGGTAGATAATAAACCCGGAAGTTTTGATAGTCAGCAAATTTGTTTACAAGTAGTCTTATCACAGATTGCGTTATGCAAAAGACAGTAATAAATTATGTATTAATGTTAGGTCAAAATATTATAATACTCAATGTTTTGACATAAAATATTTTGTTTTATTACAGATATTGCGAATTTATGCGCAAAAATTACCTTAGTTAATACCAATTTAAAAAAAATATAGATTTATTAAGAAAATATTAAAAGTTTTTTCGACTAATAATTGTTGTTGAAAACTTGGAAGTACAGGTTTTGATACCTCACTGAGCACAACATAATATAAATAACTTTTCAAGTCAATAATATATTTAAAATTAAACACAATATTATGTTATAAAAAGTATTAAAGGTAGACCACAGAGGCCTGGTAGGGCGGCGAATACGAGGTGATAAAAATGGCTCAGTCTTCCGGGTGAAAAGTTGTTCTCGCAAGGTCGGAGTCGAGGGCACTGCTCTACAGGCTGACGTCACAGCGCGTCACACGTCTGACCCAATGTAAGATAAAAGTGACGAATGAACACGGGTCATTTATAGTTACTAACATTTTCAAGAAGATTAAGTCTAAAGCCTTGTCAACCACAAATTTCTACGTAGAACTTGACTGCCTTGTTTCAAGTAACGGCTGAAAGTATATGCAGCTGAGTTGATATACTAAGATTCAACGTCGAGACATGACGTAAAATACAAATAATTTTACAGGCTTCATTCGTATATAAATGAGACAGTATTACTGGTACATCCGTTACTTGGACAAACTTTACCGTAGGAACATTTAAATAGAAACGTTTTATACTTTAAGCGGAAGATTCTCGAAGGAATTTCCTTCAACATACCGGCATAATTTAAAACATGATCTAGTTTATAAAAATGACCTTGATTGTCTGCCGTGGGCGACGTCCCTTCACCTGGTGCTTACAATTGAGATCATCTGAGCCTGTGATTGTAAAATTGCACTCAATCTTCCTGCAGGCCCACGGGACAAAGGGAATAAGCGTAATGTTTATTTCAAGACCAGCTACAATCATATAAGGTAATATATTTAAAATTTATATATAAGACTCCGACAAACATTAATACGAATTCAGAAAAAGAAATAGGCAATATATTTAAAGATTCTTGAAGAAAAGAAGAAATTAAATAATGAATATCTATTTCATATACCTATCAGTCATACTAGAAAATAGGTTGTTATTCATAGGTTTATATACGGCCACGGAAGAGAATATAATATAATTTAAATAAAACGGCCTTAAAATTACATAGGTACTTATTCCGTAACGTTTATCAAAAGTCCATATACCAATGTCAGTTTATCGCGTAAACAAAAGAAGTATATTTCTCATAATAAAATGGAGAGAATCTATAAATTCCTAGTTACCACGAGGAAACATTATCTATGTTATTCTGTTATTGTATTAGAGGACAGTTTTATCTGCAAAGGTCAGCATCGATTAGCGCATCCACTCTAGATTACATTTTGCAATCGTAATTGCGTACCACTTGACACACTGAGCGTTTCTGGTTTAATTTGTGTCATACAATTGACATATAATTTGATCAATGAAAAATGTATCAAATTTTCAGTCTAAGAACCAATTATAGAACATGTAAAAGGTATTGGATTTTACATTCTGAAGTTATAGTTTTCGTTTCTGAATCTCTCTTCTTTATTTAAAGCTTCTAGCCGTTATTGTTAATTATTTAAAAGTCGTGGACGAACGAACCCTAGTGATATAAATACACATGGAGAAATCAATATAATCTAAAGCCTTACGCATATATAAATATACTTAGAAGTAAATTGTGACTAAATCTATAGTATGAACCTTTTTCTCGTTGATTCATCAACACAGACCCAGAAAAAGAGTTGGAAACTTAGCATGAAAGCGTATTAAGGCATGAAAATTTAACACTTTAAAAATGCTTTTAATAGTAATAATAACCATGAGCTTACATTTTCAATGAGCAGTGTTGGCCTAGTGGCTTCAGCGTGCGATTCTCATCACTGAGGTCGTAGGTTCGATCCCCGGGTGTGCACCAATGGAGTTTCTTTTTATGTGCGCATTTAACATTTGTACGAACGGTGAAGGAAACCATCGTGAGGAAACCGACATGTCTTAGACCCAAAAAGTTGACGGCGTGTGTCAGGCACTGTAGGCTGATCACCTACTTGCCTATTACATTTAAAAATGATCATGAAACAGATTCAGAAATCTATAGCCTAGACCTAAAGAGGTAGCGCTACTGGTTTATTTATTTTTTTTACATTTTCAATAGGTAATAAAAAATTATAGATACATATTTTAACTATATCTTTATACGTTCCTATATATTCCCGGCACATTATATCATTTTGCGTAAGGTGGATAACTGGATCGCGCCCAACGCCCTTCGCCTTGGTGTTATGAGCCAACTGTATAGATTCAGATCTATTTTTGATTGGGAAGAATAATAAAGAAGACCAATGCCCGAGGTGAGAACCTTCATGTGACAGACAAGTTCAAAGTTAATAGAAACAAAACACTCTTGAAAAGTATACATTTATTAAAGGTTTTTGAAAACAGCGTTTAAAAAATTGGCTCGCTGTAAATTGCTGTTGACTTACAGAACAGGTGTATTCGAATAATAGAAACCCTACTATACTCAAAGGTTAGTTTTAGTTAAAATTTGGGTCATGTATGCTGAAAATAAATAAATGCCTATTTCTGAAGAATCAGACAGAAGTTCTCGCATGATGTTAAGAAGTAATGCAGTAATATACGCAAGACACCTGCTTTATGAAGTTGTAACTGGGAAGGAGCAAAATTATTTCTATTTATTTATTTGCACATAGTTGTTCTAACTAATTGTTAATTACTACAAATGCGATTGAACTACACAATAATACCTACATCGATAGTCCTTCAATTAAAAAACATTTTAAAAAAATTGCATTTTAAAATTCATCATCGGACGTCGAGGCAGAATACGAAATTCCACCCGTTTCACCTCGACGTCCGTCGTTCCACAACTGAGCGTTTTTTTAAGGTGAAACCAGCTGCCCCCTGAAGTATTTCCGAAACAATTCGCCTTAGGGTCCTTCAAGAAAATAGCGTACCAATTCTTAAAAGGCCGGCAACGCACTCGAGGTGGCTCTGGCATTGAGAGTGTCCATGGGTTGTCCCTGTTCTATAAAAAAAAGCAAGCAACTCTTGTGAATTCAGCCAGTGTATAAACAATCAGGTCTACCGCGATAGAAATTCTATTTATTAAATGTATTGCTCGCGTGAGTGGCGCTACGCTAACCAAGTTAGAGGTGCGCGCGGTACAACCAAAAGTTGGGACTTTCGCTTCAGGTTCTTTCTTAGAACCCATAGACCCAGTCTCTCCAAAATATCCCGATTATGAACCCGCGTAATAACGAAATAGAGCTCAAACATGGTAACACTAAATTACTTCACATACACGCATAACAATCATAGGAGGTAAGGAAAAGGTGCGTATTTCATAAGTGTCGAAGGTTAGTGGTCAGCCATGAACAGTTCACAAGGTAATAAAGGCTTGAAACTATTTATTACAATAATCTATATATAATTTTGAGTCATTTGGATGTTTAAAATGTAATTAATCACGCGTTATTTTTGTTGAAATTCCCTTCATCGACTACGAGGAATATGTTCAAGGTTCAAACATATAAATAGACAAGTCAGGAAAATGTGTACAACTTTGTTATTGGACTATTCTAAGATTCGAGAGTATAATAATTGAAGAATAGAAATTGATGGCCTTCTGTTGAGTTAAAAGTGCTTTTATTATGAAACTTTAATTTAATTGGAAAATGGAATTATCTAGGCTATTAAATATTAGCGAATTAATGTTTTTGTTTTTTCCTTCGTTCAAAATTGAAAATCTCATTATTTTTACATTGTTTTAGCAGGTATTGGAGCCCCTGAACTAAGTCTAGGTAGACCTGTACATCAGGGTACTCCAACGGTTAAATGAAATTGTAACTTAATCATCGTTACTAATAAAAATAATATAGAAAACTGAGGCTTATTACTAAAACAAAGCGAGATTTATTACTTTGACAACTCACAGCTACACTCTCAAATACATGCGCATACACACCCATTCTCACACTCACACATTCACGCATACTTAATGTCTTATAAGACATAGTTGTAACACTAAAATTATTTAAAAAAAACTGATTTAAACATGTAACACGTAATAATTGTTATCTAAGTTACCCATAACACAGGGACGGGAATAGCTAGTCCCCACACTATCCCTAGTTATAGATGAATTTTCTCACAACCCTTTTTCCAACCATGTTTCTATTATTATTATTAAGATACAGGTTTACAAGGTTGTAATGTTTGTACACACCAGAAGTGAATGACTGTGATAATGTTTGGGAAGGGATGGATGGAATGTGGAGAGTGCTAGTATAAAAGAGAGTAAGTCCATTGTGAAAATTAAAAATGATGATTCTTGTACTAGTAATTCATGAGTGCACAGAGCCACTTGGAAATTATTGTTTTAATTACGTTTTAATAACTAAGGGTAAATGGCTACGTGTAGGTATACTCGTATTATATTTGCCTGTATGTGATTTTAACATTAAAACTTTTTTCTTTATGCTCAATGTATTTTATGAATAAAATATTATTAATATTTATTTGACGATAAAATTCGACAATTACTACAATAAAACATTAATTTTGATAATTATTAGCTAATCTTACGTTATTTTCGTATTCACCCATTTTCCAACATTTTAATTGGATAATTTAACCCACACGGTCATCATTTAGCGCAAATAGTTATCACAATAAAAATTGCAACACGTTAATTCCTTAGCTTTATCGTAAATCCGTTCGTTACGAGTGCAAGTGCCAAGAGAAAGTCCGCAAAATATGCAAAACGTGATTCGACCGTTCAGAAAATGTTTTGCATTTACTATGATACTATGTAATGACACGATGGAATTGGACTTTAATTTACATGTTTAACTTGCTAATGGACAATTGTAGAAAATATTTTTTGTCTATCAAGTACCTACGTGGATGTTGTAATAAATGGAATAGAGAGAAACAATTTCTTCGGAGATTAAGTGCAACATTTAGCGCAAAGAGAATAGAAGTAATTAAAGGACCTCTCTTGACATAAATAGGAACTAAAAAATTGGGTGCGTTCCAATATACATATTCTAACATAAAATTCTAAAATTTGTTATTTATAGTTTCATTTTAAGCTATTGCATAGATTTTATCGCGGGCGTTGAGCGCGGCGACCGAATCAAGAAATTCCGTAACGAAAAAACCTAAGACACGATGACGTAATATAGGTACGGCCAATACGCGTTAGAGCGGGACAGAACGCATACTGCGTCTTCACATCTCTCTGACGAGATCGGTGCACGTAAGAGTGAGACAGACTATATAGGCGAGTTAGTCTGAGTCTGGTAGAGTGGTAGATCGAATTAATTTATCAAAGAAAAAACTTGAATTAACGTCAAGGAAAAAAAATACTGCATAAATAAATAGTAGTAGTATAATGCATAAATAATTGCATAAGTTGAAAAAAAATTAAGCAATAGCTTTACCGCGGCAGTCCCCGAGTGCCACACGTTTTTTTTATTTAACTACATATATTAAACTACTTGTATAGAATTTTTGCAATCATTATTTATTTCTGCGTCTTGATTTATAAATATGCCTGCTGTGTTTAAAAGTACAATAGTACTTTCTGGTTACTAGAGGCAATATAAAGCACGTTTTGGACAACCATTAGTAAAACACTAAAAAATAACCTTGAACAGAAATAAACACCAAAATCAAATGACCGTAATAGAAAGCAAACGATGGTACTGTACCAAGGTCAAATTTGTACCTGTCTAAAACCTTGTCAAATGCCATATTACGACCACATATCAACAAAAAAATCAATGCATACGAAATAGCACCTTAGTCCATCATCTTAGAACTGATTTTAGATTAACCTGGACAACTCCACACGACAAGTGAAAGTGAATGGTGACGCG